ATACACGATATCTTTAACATAACCCCATAGAAAGAAGTGAAGGGGGGTAATATCTGGTGAACGAGATGGCCGGAGATTTGGTTCATCCCTTCCAATCCATATATATATATATATATATATATTTTTAAATTATATATATATATATATATATATATATATATATATATATATATATGAAGAAAAATATACGGAAAAACAAACAAAAAATCCTAATATGCAATTATGCTGTTTTAATGTTAATATAATGTCAACGTCGGACGTTTCGGTCTAATAGACCATCTTCAGGACATATTCATAAGACATAATTAACATTAGACTATATTCAATTCAACATGAAAAAGACGATGCACACAAGAGCAAGATTAATCCAAACATATAACTGAAATTTTTTTTATACGATCAGCGTTCCGTTTTTTTCGATACACGATATCTTCAACAGGTGAGAAAAGAAAAGAATCATTCGTGGGTCGAGCACCGTGTTGTAAACATTCCCGTCTTGTGTCGTGCTTTTCTTTTCCAATTTTACTGTACTGTGTGCTTCTTTTTTTTTATCAATCCTTGCCTACATTTCTGTAAATACACTCTGAAATGTTTGTATTTGAGCTTCTGGCATGAATACCAAGCAGTACAGCATGCTGTTTCTAAATTTCTGATGGAGGGAATTACGTCATGGTGCAATTTCCCCATAGAAACTAACCCTACTATACTGTGAAGTCGACAAAATTAAAAACAAACAACGCGCACGCATGAAATTAAAAGTATAAAATGGCGAAAATTTACCTATCGCAGCATATATATATATACATCAAAAATATTATCGGCGTACATCAAACGTACAGACGCACGCACACACACACACACACATCAACAACACAAGACAAAATCACGTGAGGTCTAGCTGACTAATGAAAAATAAACAGCACAAAACTACAATTACCAGAATTTTCTCTCCCATAATTCATTTCCAAAACGTTGCTGATTAAGCTTAAATAAAAACGACACGTTAAATTTTTAATGGCCCCTGTTTTTTCTCATCCTTCAATTTCTGTTGGATTCTAATCCATATTTGATCCTAATTTATATGTATGTATATATATATATATATATATATATATAGGGTGTTCATAAAGTTTGTGTGTACTTTTAAAAATTTATAACTTTATTTGTATTTGCGATAGAAATAATTTGTAAAAAGGATTAGAAAGAATTAAATCTATATTTTTTTAAGGTTTTATTGACATGTTCTCCATCATTAGCAAGGGTAATACGATTTTGCAGTTCACGGAAAACATTTGCCAACTGATTTACAGTAATGCCTGAAATCACATTAGTTATTTTAGCTTTCAATTTTTCTAGGTTTGGTTCTAATCACAATTGTTTTCACATGTCCCCATAAAAAAATGTAATGGAGTCAAATCTGGCGAACGTGGAGGCCAATAAAATGGTCCACCCCTTCCGATCCATCTGTTAGGAAATTCCTGATTTAGAAACTCTCTAACACGCAGAGCAAAGTGACAAGGAGCGCCATTTTGTTGAAACACTGTATTGTAACATTTTTTACAGATTATTTCTGTCGCAAATACAAATAAAGTTATAATTTTTAAAGTGCACACGAACTTTATGGACACCCTGTATATACAGACACACAAACAGGGTGCGATGGATAAATTGTCGTTTAAATTACACAAAAATGAAAATAACACTGACATCTCATTTTAACAGATATATTTACCAAAATTACACAAAAATATCTTGAAATATGAAAGAGTATATTTATTAAATAAAATCGCCATTGACTTCAACAACGACCTCCAGACGACTTCGGATTCTCCTGCAACTCTTCTGGGTGGTCTCTTTGTTTAAGTTGGTGAATGCTGCCATAATCCTTGCCTTCAGTTCATCTTTGGGGTTACAAGGAATTTTGTTGATTTTTCGTTCAACTGCGGCCCACACATAATGCAGTCTGTGAAGTTAGGTGACCAGATGTAAGGGATGGTGTGGGCAGAAATTGTCTGACACCCATGGCTAGGTTCTTCCGCTTGTGTGACATGGTGTAGAGTCCTGTTGCCAGAGATAGGATCTTCCAGCAGCCAACCTCTTGACCCAGGGAAGCAGTACCTCCTCAAGGCACTTGATGCCGGCCTTCGTGTTGAGTCTGAGGCCCCCACCAAAAAATTCAGGCGTACTTTTCTTATCAGAGTTTTCCGAGTTGATGTAGCTTTGTAATCACCATTAGACTCATCCAACTCTTCCCGAATCAACTGCACTGTCCTCAGATTGACATCCAAACACTCTGAAATGTTTGTACTAGAGCTTCTGATCCAAATGTCAAGCAGTACAGCATGCTGTCTCCAAATTTCTGATGGAGGGAATTTTGTCATGGTGCAATTTCCTCATAGAAACTAACCCTACTATACTATGAAGTCGACAAAATTAAAAACAAACAACGCGCACGTATGAAATTAAAAGTATAAAATGGCGAAAATTTACCTATCGCAGCATATATATATATATATATATATATATATATATATATATATATATATATATATATATATATGTAAAGAGCAACCTCGGTTCTCGAACGTCTCACATGTCGAACAAATCGGTTTTCGAATAGAAAATTCGAGATGAAAATGCCTCGGTTAACGAACAAAATTTCGGTTCTCGAAGAACATTGCCAAACCGAGTTAAGAGGATCGGAATCATTCGTGGGTCGAGCACCGTGTTGTAAACATTCCTGTCTTGTATCGTGCTTTTCTTTTCCAATTTTACTGTAGTGTGTGCTTTTTTTTATCATCATTCGCCCTTAATCATGCCTCCAAAGAAAGTTGGCAGTAATACTGGTAAAGGAAAAAGAAAAGTTGAGAGAGAGAAAAAAAATTGTATTGAAGAAATCATCGCAAAATACAAAAAAACGGCTTTCGTGTGTCAGATCTCGCTGTGCAGTATGGTATGTCTAAATCGACAATATGTCAGTTATGTGCCATGAGTGATACAGGTTTAGGCGATCATGTATCTTTCGATACATGACTGACGAGGCAGATTTTTTTTGCCTGCAATAGGTTGCCATTTCTTTCTGCGGTAGAACAGTCACCATCCAAGGCTATAGAACCCGGTCTGTCCTGCTATTTACCCATAGCTGGGCGGGGGTGAAGAAGAAGGAGATTCATAATTAAATGTAATAGATTCGACTGGAATTCGAACTCGGCTCTGCGATTCCTCAATCCGAGCCGCTATCCATTATTCTAGCGTACCTCCTAATATCTGCTATTCTAAAATTAAAAAAAAAACAAACAAGGAAGTGATAAAAGCAGCAGATGTTGCAAAAGGTGTAACTGTTATTAGTAAACAAAGACCAAAGATAGTCGAAGTGGAAAAATTATTGCTTATTTTTATAAATGAGAAACATCAGGTGACAGTATCAGTGAAACATTTATTTGTGAGAAAGCATTAGAAATTTCTAAAGAACTTAGTAAAGAAAACCCCAGGTACAAGGGCTGAAAGTGATACATTTGAATTCAAAGCTAATAGAGGCTGGTTGGAGAAAGTTAAGAAGTGATATACACCGTTATTAAACATGGAGAGGCGGTGAGTTCAAACAAGAAAGCAGCTGAGAAATTTTTGATTGAGTTTAGTGACTAGATAAAGGAAGGAAGTTATCTAACCCAACAGGTGTTTAACGGGGATGAAACAGGGTTATTTTGGAAACAAATTTCAAATAGGACCTATATTCTTTTCTTTCTTTTTATGTACCATGTCCTTTCAGGACGTAGGCGATCATGGCCCTCCACCTCCCTTTATCCCTTGCAGCTCTCAACAAGTTCCTTCCCTCAGCCATTTCCTATAGATCACGTTCTGTCATCCACTTGCTTAAGCCCGCCAGGTATGTCACGCGTTGTTTTTCCTCTTTCCCTCTATTCGACCCGTGAGTATCAGATTCTCCAGGCCCTACTTCCTCATTATGTGTCTCAGGAACTTCAGCTGCCTCTTCCTGATGTTAAGTATAAGCCTCCTCCTTGTTTGCAACCTCTCTGAGAACACAACGTTGCTCACATGCTTGGTCCAGGATATCCTAAGCATCCTTTTGTAGAACCACATCTCTGTCGCCTCGAGTTTCTTCTTCATTTTTGAGGAGACCGTCCAACATTCGCTGCCGTAAAGAAGGACAGATGTCACGTAACAGCTCAGTATTCTTTGTTACCAAAGAAATCCTCTTGTCTCCCAATACTCTGCCCAGCTTTTGGAATGTGCCCTTGGTCATCCCAATCCGTCTACGGATCTCAGTGTCGCACTTACCGTCCTCTGTCAAGACGCTTCCCAGATAATTAAACTTCCGCATCTGATTGATTCAGCTGTTCCCGAGCTGCAAATCGCATATCGGGCTCTTCCTCTTACTTATGACCTTGGATTCTGTCTTCTTGTAGTTTGTGCTTAGTCCTTTCTTCTCACTCTCCGTCGTTACCTTCTGTGGGAAATTTTGTAATTTCTTTTTCGTGTCTGCTATCAGTACTGTGTCATCTGCGTATCTTATATTGTTAAGATTGTGGCCACCAATGCTAAATCTCGGTAAGGTTTCCAATTCTCTCAGAATTGCCTCGCTGTATAGGTTGAACAGGTCGGGTGAGAAGACACATCCTTACCTTACGCCCCCTTTCTATTTTTGTATATTCACTAAACTCATTCCCTATGCCCATGCATGCTGTTTGATGCCAGTATAGGTCCTTGATTATTCTGATATCTTTCCCAAATATATCAAGGTTGCTGAACAGTTCCAACAGATCCTCGTGGCGTACTTTGTCGGAGGCCTTCGCGTAGTCTATGAAACATTGGTACACGTCCTTCTGCATCAGGATCGCTCTTTCTGATAACATTCTGAGGATGAATATTGCGTTCTTTGTTCAGGTGTCTTTAACAAACCCGCACTGTTCTTGTCCTAACTCTGATCAGATTCTGCTGCGCGCTCTAAAGAGGAAAAAGTGTTGCCAGGGTACAAGCCAATGAAAGATACACTCACTCTTTTACTATGCGGCAACGCAAGTGGTGATTTCAAGGTCAAGCCACTGCTTGTTTACCATTCCAATAATCCGAAGGTTTTCAGAAGAAACAATGTTATGAAGAGCAAATTGCTTGTTATGTGGCGTGCTAATAATAAAAAATATCTGCAAGAAGAAAATTTGCCACTAAAATACCTTCTCGTGTTAGACAAGGCTCCGGCTCACCCTCCAGGTTTAGAGGTTGACTTAGTATCTACCACCTAACGCAACTTCTCTAATACAATCAACGGAGCAACATGACTTAGTATCTACCACCTAACGCAACTTCTCTAATCAACGGAGCAACAGGTCATTGCAAACTTTAAGAAACTTTACATAAAAGCCCCGTTTCGAAAGTTTTTCAAGTCAATATTCTGAATTGTGTTAATCGAGGTTGCTCTCCATGCTCGGAAACATCCTATCCCTATATATATATATATATATATATATATATATATATATATATATATATATATATATATATATATATATATATATATACATATATATATATATATATATTTTTTTTTTATGTTTATACGTTCTTTTTTATAGATACAAATATTTAAGCAAATGCTCTGCTTATAATAAACAGTATTAACGACATTTACCGGTCTGAATGTCGAAGAAATTTTCACAAAAATATGCGTCCTCAACAGGAATCGAACCTGCATCCTATATGGAACCGTCATATAGCCTGACGTGCTTTTTACCGATTGTGACACAGAGAGGCGTTTCGGTTAGCAAGGTCGATTTTTACTGTTTTAAACTTGCTAACCGAAACACTCCTCTGTGGTTCAATCGGTAAAGCACGTCAGGCTGTATGACGGTTCCGTATAGGATTCAGGTTCGATTCCTGTCGGAGGACGCATATCTTCTATGAAAATTTCTCGGACATTCACGCCGGTTAATGTCGTTAATACTATTTATTATAAGCACAATATTTACTTAAATATTTGTATCTATAAAAATGAACGTATAAACATTTAAAAAAATGTCTTAAAATAATTGTCGGACTTTGTCCATTCCATAATGTGTGACGTCATATATATATATATATATATATATTATAAATTAATTGATTTAAAATATGGTTATTTTCGCTACACAGTTCCAACCATGTTTCAAAATAGAAAAAACCAATTTTATTTTTAAATAAATAAAACCATTAGTTTATTTCATCTTTAAGCGAACATTTGGAGTAACTTTTAAAATTTACCGGTTTTAAATACACAGCTAAAATTTTATTTCCATTTTACAGAATATTCTACTTTGAACCATCTAATTTTCCTTATGACAGTATCATTGTATCAGTTATTTTTTGGTAAGTTGTTATTTTACACTGAAAACGACGTCGGTTGAATTTGATGTCGTCTGAATTTAAAAAAAAAAAAAAAAAAAAAAAGGTTTTCAAATCATAAAATTAAAGATTTTTTTTTTTTTACAATGTTTTTTTATTTAACTACGATTTGAAATATTTTCCTGTTTTAATTTTCTTTTACTAAATTCTTTTTTGCAACAGTTAAATGTAAAGAAATTATATTATGTAATTATTTTAAAATTAAGTTTATTATATGAGGTTATTTTTTTTTTTTTTTTTTTTTGTATATGACTTTTGACAGCAGAAAAATTTATTAATTTCAACTGATTCAGAAACTTTTCTTTTTATATATAAACCTATTATTATAATATTTCACATAAGTACTGAGGACATATATTCAAAAGCTTATATGTTATTTTTTCATATTAATTTTATTTTACTATAGGTGTTATTTTTGGATTTTTTTAATGCGTGTAGTATTATTTAAAAGAAATTTAGGTTAGAATTCATTCAATTTAACTACAATTTTAATTACAAATTCAAAATTACAACTTTAAAATTTTAAAATATTTTCATTGTTTAGTTTTATAAGACTATATTAGTTTATAACAGAAGGAAAATTTTTATTAAGTAAGATTATTTTCCATATCAAAGTATATTTTATTTATTTATTTATTTATTTATTTTTTTTTTTATTTTTTATTTTTTTTTTCCTTTTCTTTCGTTTAAATTTAAATATTATTTAAAAATATTAATGGCACTTACTAAAAACTGCTAAGTCATTTCTCAGATTTAGTAAACTTTCCTTTATTTATTAATTAATTAATTTATTTATTTCAAATATATATAACCTAATTAATAAAGATTCATATGTATGTATAAATAATGTTAGAATTCATTTTATTTTACTACAATTTTAATTTCAATTTTAAAATTTAAAATTATAACTTTAAAATTTTAAAATATTTTCATTGTTACAATTTAGCATATTACTTTATAACAGAAGGATAATTTTCATAGTAAGTAAAAAAAAATTTTTTTTCTATCAAAGGATAGAAATTACAATTTTTAAACTTTTAATTTAGATATTATTTAAGTAATATTAATGGCCCAGACTACAAAACTATCTAAGTCATTTCTCAGAATTAGTAAACTTTATGTATTAATTCAAGTTTAAATGTATATGAGGTTACATTTTTTTTTTTTTTTTTTTTTTTATATATATATATATATATATAATGTTTTCATGTAAGACGAAGGACATGGGTCATTTTAAAAGTTACATCTTATGGCATTTCATATTAATTTTATTTTACTATATTTGCTTTTTTGGGATTCTTTTTTAGTGCGTGTAGTATTATTTAAAAGAAACTTAGGTTAAAATTCATTCAATTTAACTTTAATTTTATTTCAATTTAAAATTACAAACTTTAAACTTTTTGAAAATATTTTCATTGTTAGTTATATTAGACTATATTACTTTATAACAGAAGGAATATTACTCATAGTAAGTAAAATTATTTTTCAATATCCAAGTATATCGTCAATTTTAAACCTTTATATTTTAAAGTATTATTTTAGTAATATTAATGGAACTTACTACAAAATTAGCCAAGTCATTCTCTGGATTTAGTAAACTTTATTTATTACTTAATTTATTTATTTATTTTAAATATATGTAACCTTTTAGTTAAGTTTCATTGTTTACCAAGAACAGGTTAGAATTCATTTTATTTAACTACAATTTTAATTACAATTTTAAAATTACCACTTAAAATTTTAAAATATTTTCATTGTTAGTTTTTTGACTATATTACTTTTATACAGAAGGATAATTATGTTTCTAGTATAATTATTTTCCATAACAAAGTTATGTAAATTACAATTTTTAAACTATTATATTTAAATATTTAAGAATATAAATGGCAAAGACAAAAACTTCTAAGGTTTTTCAGATTTAGTAAACTTTATGTATTAATTAATTAAATTATTTATTTTAAATATATATATATAATAAAGTTTATATGTATATATAACAATGGGTCATACATTATATATCATCTAGCTTTATATAATTTCATTTTTCAGGAGGTATTTTATCGGATTCATTCAAGTGTTTTTACATTTATTATAGAGGTGTTTCTCGGGTTAGGAACTTTTATTTAACTACAATTTTTAAACGAACTTTATGTTTTAATACGTTTTAACCACAATTTTAAATAACAGTTTAAAAACATTTTTCCTGCATTCAATTTTTTTTTTTTTTTTTTTTTTTTTTATATATTATTTACGGAAAATTTTTGCCAATGACGGCATATAATAGCTAAACTGATTCTCTGATTCAGTAAATTTTTATTTTTATAAACTAAAAATATATAGTTTCTTGTATACCGAGCGCACGGGTCGTTTAATGATCTACAAATTCTATCTCTTCTTATTAACTTCCATTTTACTGTAGGTGTTTTATTTGATTCTTTTAGATGCCAGAAATATTTGAGAGATGTTTGATTTTTATAATTCTAAATGAAGGTTCTGATGTTGAATTTTTTTTGAATTCACACAAATATATATTTTTATGTTACGTCTTTCAATCGAAGATTGATTGGTAACTAATGATTCAGTGCAACATTTATTTTGTATGTTAATTTTGAAAATTGATCATAGTTTTTGTTTAACATAGTTTTTATCTTAATTTTCTATTGTCTAAATTTTTTTGGTTTTGGTATAAGTTTTTAACGAAGATATGTTATTTAACATTTTTTCCTGTACAGTATAACCAGGAAGTGAAGATGTTGAAAATACGTATTTATTTTCCAAGGGAACATTCCGACAATGTAGGAATTTATGTCCATGGTTCTTCCAAAACTAAATATTTTTTCATGTTTTTTTCTATGGTTTCCAATTTCAATTTTTAATATTTTTGTTTTTGACGCAATATCTTTTAGAGCCATCTTATAGCTATTGAGATACTATCCCCCGTTCATACTGAATTTGTACTAATTGTTTACTTATCGTTCTCCATTTCTTGTCCCTTTCAAAGACATATATATATATATATATATATTTATATATATTCGTCCCCTTTATATAATGAGAGAAAAGCTTTTTCCTCGAAAAACATATCCATTCCTCGTCCCAATTTTGTATTTTAGAAACATTTGATACTTTTTAAAATTTTATTCATTTTGTTTCTTTTCGCCTTTCATTTAAAGAGAATTGTTCCCTTTTTTTTCCCCATTCCTCGTTTGAATCAACCGATTCAAAGAAAAAGGGTGAGAAAGGTTTTCCTATAAAATTTTTATCCATTCTTTTATAACTATATTTATTCAGCGTGTATGTGTTTTAAAGTTCTTGCATTAAAGTTCTTTGTTTGCATTTCTTTGTTAAAGTTCAAAAGGGTAATTGTAATTCCGCTTCGATTCTCGAGCAATTCGTTTTTAGAACAGATTTTCAGAACAAATTTCGAGAACTGAGGTTGATTTCCCTCTTTCCTCGTTCCCTCTGTTTCATTATATATATATTTATATATAGGATTTTTATTTTAAAATATTTGAGATCTCCAATTTCTTGTCCCCTTTCATAGAGAGGAGTTGATTCCTAATCTTTCCTCGTTCCAAACATTTTTTGTCCCTTTCATAGAAAGGAGTTTTTATTTCTTCGTTCCCCATTTCTTGTCCCCTTTCATAGAAATAGTTCCTAATATTATATTTTTCCCCGTTTCTTGTCCCCTTTTAGAGGAGTTCCCCTTTCCTCGTTCCCCATTGTCCTGTCCCTTTCATAGAGAGGAGTATATTTATATATATTCCCCATATATATATAGATAGATTTCATAGATAGATAGATAATGTTGGTGGTTTCCTCGTAAAATATATAAATTATATACATACATGCATACCCCTTTCAATATATTTTGTATTAAAAAAATCCTCGTTCCCCAGGTCTTGTCCCCTTTCATAAAAAGGAGTTCCCCTTTCCTCGTTATCCATTTATATATATATATTATATATATATGACGAGACGGCAGTTTAGTGCCTCCATTTTTTGATGATATTCCTCGTTCCCCATTTGACAAAGTCCCCCTTTCATATATATATATCCCCTATCCTCGTTCCCCATTTCTTGTCCCCTTTCATTTAGAGGATCGTCAGAAAGATTTCCCGATCTTTCCTCGTTCTCCATTTCTTATCTCCCTTTCATAGAGGATTCCCCTTTCCTCGTTACCCATTTCTTTGGGCTTCCCTTTCTTTTGAGACAGAGTTTCCCCTTTCCTCCTCGTTATCCATTCTTATTGTCCCATTTCAAATTGAGGTTTTTCGAAACGAGTTAGTTTTCCTATATATATATATATATATATATATTATATATATATATATATATATATATATATATATATATATATAATTTTATTGTTCCTTTCATATGGAGGATGGCCCTTTTTCTTATTCGTTTACCATTTCTTGTCCCCATTCAATTTGTTAGGGACTTCCCCTTTCCTCGTTCCCGATCATTTCATTGTCCCCATTTGGAAGGAAAAATCAGATTACAGAGTTCCTCGTTCTCCATTTCTTGTCCCTTTCAGACGGTGTGGTGGTTATAAACCTCGTTCCACAAGTCATTGTCCCCGAGCGCTTGAGAGGATGTTCCCCTTTCTTCGTTCCCTATTTCTTGTCCCCTTTAATAGAGAGGAGTTCCCTTTCCTCGTTCCCCATTTCTTATAAACTTAAGGTGGGTTCATGGAGAGGAGTTCCCACAAATATCCTCGTTCAGACGTCTGCAAGTCCCCTTTGACTGAAACGAGTAGTTCCCGTTAATGTTGTTCCCCATTTCTTGTTCCCTTTCAGAAAAAGGAGTTCCCTTTTCTCGTTCCCCATTTCTTGTCCCCTGTCATAGTAAGTTTTAACGAGTCCATGTTGTTTAACATTTTTTGTCCCCTTTCCAGGAAGTGGATGTTCCCCTTTCCTCGTTCTCCATTCCTTGTCCGTACTTTCCATGGTGAGTCCAAAACTAAACATTCTTTCTGTTCCTATGGTTCAGAATCCAATTAAAATATTGTTTAGACGCAATATCTACCATCTTCGTTCCCCATTTCTTGTCCCCCCTTCATAGAAGGAGTTCCCCTTTCCTCGTTCTCCATTTCTTGTCCCCTTTCAAAGACAGGAGTCCCCCTCTCCTCGTTTCCCATTATTCGTCCCCTTTCATAGAGAGAAGACCTTTTTCCTCGTTATCCATTCCTCGTCCCTTTTCTTTGAGAGGAGTCCCCCTTTCCTCGTTACCCATTTCTTGTCGCCTTTCATAGAGAGGAGTTCCCTTTCCTCGTTCCCCATTCCTCGTCCCCTTTCATAGAGAGGAGTTCCCCTTTCCTCGTTCCCCATTTCTTGTCCCCATTCATAGAGAGGAGTTCCCCTTTCCTCGTTCCCCATTTCTTGTCCCCTTTCATAGGGAGGAGTTCCCTGTTCCTCGTTCTCCATTTCTTGTCCCTTTTCAGAGAGGGAGTTCCTCTTTCCTCGTTCCCATTTCTTGTCCCCTTTCATAGAGAGGAGTTCCCTTTCTTCGTTCCCCATTTCTTGTCCCCTTTCATAGAGAGGAGTTCCCCTTTCCTCGTTCTCCATTTTCTTGTTCCCTTTCATAGAGGAGTTCCCTTTCCTCGTTCCCCATTTCTTGTTCCCTTTCATAGAGAGGAGTTCCCCTTTCCTCGTTCTCCATTTCTTGTTCCCTTTCATAGAGAGGAGTTCCCCTTTCCTCGTTCCCCATTTCTTGTCCCCTTTCATAGAGAGGAGTTCCCCTTTCCTCGTTCCCCATTTCTTGTCCCCTTTCATAGAGAGGAGTTCCCCTTTCCTCGTTCTCCATTTCTTGTTCCCTTTCATAGAGAGGAGTTCCCCTTTCCTCGTTCTCCATTTCTTGTCCCCTTTCATAGAGAGGAGTTCCCTTTCCTCGTTCCCCATTTCTTGTCCCCTTTCATAGAGAGGAGTTCCCTTTTCCTCGTTCCCCATTTTCTTGTTCCCTTTCATAGAGAGGAGTTCCCTTTCCTCGTTCTCCATTTCTTGTTCCCTTTCATAGAGAGGAGTTCCCTTTCCTCGTTCCCCATTTCTTGTCCCCTTTCATAGGGAGGAGTTCCCCTTTCCTCGTTCCCCATTTCTTGTCTCCTTTCATAGAGAGGAGTTCCTCTTTCCTCGTTCCCCATTCCTCGTCCCCTTTCATAGAGAGGAGTTCCCCTTTCCTCGTTCTCCATTTCTTGTCCCCTTTCATAGAGAGGAGTTCCTCTTTCCTCGTTCTCCATTTCTTGTCCCCTTTCATAGGGAGGAGTTCCTCTTTCCTCGTTCTCCATTTCTTGTCCCCTTTCATAGAATGGAGTTCCCTTTCCTCGTTCTCCATTTCTTGTCCCCTTTCATAGGAGGAGTTCCCCTTTCCTCGTTCCCATTTCTTGTCCCCTTTCATAGAGAGGAGTTCCTCTTTCCTCGTTCTCCATTTCTTGTCCCCTTTCATAGAGAGGAGTTCCCTTTCCTCGTTCTCCATTTCTTGTCCCCTTTCATAGAGAGGAGTTCCCCTTTCCTCGTTCTCCATTTCTTGTCCCCTTTCATAGAGAGGAGTTCCCCTTTCCTCGTTCCCCATTTCTTGTCCCCTTTCATAGAGAGGAGTTCCTCTTTCCTCGTTCTCCATTTCTTGTCCCCTTTCATAGAGAGGAGTTCCCCTTTCCTCGTTCTCCATTTCTTGTCCCCTTTCATAGGGAGGAGTTCCTCTTTCCTCGTTCCCCATTCCTCGTCCCCTTTCATAGAGAGGAGTTCCCCTTTCCTCGTTCTCCATTTCTTGTCCCCTTTCATAGAGAGGAGTTCCCCTTTCCTCGTTCCCCATTTCTTGTTCCCCTTTCATAGGGAGGAGTTCCCCTTTCCTCGTTCTCCATTTCTTGTCCCCCTTTCATAGAGAGGAGTTCCCCTTTCCTCGTTCCCCATTTCTTGTCCCTTTCATAGAGAGGAGTTCCCTTTCCTCGTTCCCCATTTCTTGTCCCCTTTCATCGAGAGGAGTTCCTCTTTCCTCGTTCTCCATTTCTTTGTCCCTTTCATAGGAGGAGTTCCTCTTTCCTCGTTCTCCATTTCTTGTCCCCTTTCATAGAGAGGAGTTCCCCTTTCCTCGTTCCCCATTCCTCGTCCCCTTTCATAGAGAGGAGTTCCCCTTTCCTCGTTCCCCATTTCTTGTCCCCTTTCATAGAGAGGAGTTCCTCTTTCCTCGTTCCCCATTTCTTGTTCCCTTTCATAGAGAGGAGTTCCTCTTTCCTCGTTCCCCATTTCTTGTCCCCTTTCATAGAGAGGAGTTCCTCTTTCCTCGTTCCCCATTTCTTGTCCCCTTTCATAGAGAGGAGTTCCCCTTTCCTCGTTCCCCATTTCTTGTTCCCTTTCATAGAGAGGAGTTCCCCTTTCCTCGTTCCCCATTTCTTGTCCCCTTTCATAGAGAGGAGTTCCTTTTCCTCGTTCTCCATTTCTTGTTCCCTTTCATAGAGAGGGAGTTCCCTTCCTCGTTCCCCATTTCTTGTCCCCTTTCATAGAGAGGAGTTCCTCTTTCCTCGTTCCCCCATTTCTTGTCCCCTTTCATAGAATGGAGTTCCCCCTTTCCTCCTTCCCCCCCATTCCTCGTCCCCTTTCATAGAGAGGAGTTCCCTTTCCTCGTTCCCCATTTCTTGTTCCCCTTTCATAGAGAGGAGTTCCTCTTTCCTCGTTCTCCATTTCTTGTCCCCTTTCATAGGGAGGAGTTCCCTTTCCTCGTTCTCCATTTCTTGTCCCCTTTCATAGGGAGGAGTTCCCCTTTCCTCGTTCCCCATTTCTTGTCCCCCTTTCATAGAGAGGAGTTCCCTTTCCTCGTTCTCCATTTCTTGTCCCCTTTCATAGAGAGGATTTCCTTTTCCTCGTTCTCCATTTCTTGTCCCCTTTCATAGAGAGGGAGTTCCTCTTTCCTCGTTCCCCATTTCTTGTCCCTTTCATAGAGAGGAGTTCCCCTTTCCTCGTTCCCCATTTCTTGTCCCTTTCATAGAGAGGAGTCCCCCTTTCCTCGTTCTCCATTTCTTGTCCCCTTTCATAGGGAGGAGTTCCTCTTTCCTCGTTCCCCATTTCTTGTCCCCTTTCATAGAGAGGAGTTCCCTTTCCTCGTTCCCCATTTCTTGTCCCTTTCATAGAGAGGAGTTCCTCTTTCCTCGTTCTCCATTTCTTGTCCCTTTCATAGAGAGGAGTTCCTCCTCGTTCCTCGTTCCCCATTTCTTGTCCCCTTTCATAGAGAGGAGTTCCTCTTTCCTCGTTCCCCATTCCTTGTCCCCTTTCATAGAGAGGAGTTCCCTTTCCTCGTTCTCCATTTCTTGTCCCCTTTCATAGAGAGGAGTTCCTTTTCCTCGTTCCCCATTTCTTGTCCCCTTTCATAGAGAGGAGTTCCTCTTTCCTCGTTCTCCATTTCTTGTCCCCTTTCATAGAGAGGGAGTTCCCTTTCCTCGTTCTCCATTTCTTGTCCCCTTTCATAGAGAGGAGTTCCTCTTTCCTCGTTCCCCATTTCCTGTTCCCTTTCATAGAGAGGGAGTTCCCCTTCCTCGTTCTCCATTTCTTGTCCCCTTTCATAGAGAGGAGTTCCTCTTCCTCGTTCTCCATTTCTTGTCCCCTTTCATAGAGAGGAGTTCCCCTTTCCTCGTTCTCTATTTCTTGTCCCCTTTCATAGAGAGGAGTTCCCCTTTCCTCGTTCCCCATTCCTCGTCTTCTTTCATAGAGAGGAGTCCCTTTCCTCGTTCTCCATTTCTTGTCCCCTTTCATAGAGAGGAGTTCCTTTTTTTCTCGTTCTCTATTTCTTGTCCCCTTTCATAGGGAGGAGTTCCTCTTTCCTCGTTCTCCATTTCTTGTCCCCTTTCATAGAGAGGAGATCCCCTTTCCTCGTTCCCCATTCCTCGTCCCTTTTCATAGAGAGGAGTTCCCCTTTCTCGTTCTCCATTTCTTGTCCCCTTTCATAGAGAGGAGTTCCTCTTTCCTCGTTCCCCCATTTCTTGTCCCTTTTCATAGAGAGGAGTTCCCCTTTCCTCGTTCTCCATTTCTTGTCCCCTTTCATAGAGAGGAGTTCCCTTTCCTCGTTCCCCCATTTCTTGTCCCCTTTCATAGAGAGGAGTTCCTCTTTCCTCGTTCCCCATTTCTTGTCCCTTTCATAGAGAGGAGTTCCCTTTCCTCGTTCCCCATTTCTTGTCCCCTTTCATAGAGAGAGAGTTCCCTTTCCTCGTTCCCCATTTCTGTTCCCTTTCATAGAGAGGAGTTCCTCTTTCCTCGTTCCCCATTTCTTGTCCCCTTTCATAGAGAGGAGTTCCCTTCCTCGTTCTCCATTTCTTGTTCCCTTTCATAGAGAGGAGTTTCCCTTCCTCGTTCCCCATTTCTTGTCCCCTTTCATAGAGAGGAGTTCCCCTTTCCTCGTTCCCCATTTCTTGTCCCCTTTCATAGAGAGGAGTTCCCCTTTCCTCGTTCTCCATTTCTTGTCCCCTTTCATAGAGAGGAGTTCCCTTTTCCTCGTTCCCCATTTCTTGTCCCCTTTCATAGAGAGGAGTTCCCCCTTTCCTCATTTCCCCTTTCATTTCCTGTTCCCCATTTCTTCCTTTCATAGAGAGGAGTTCCCCTTTCCTCGTTCTCCATTTCTTGTCCCCTTTCATAGAGAGGAGTTCCCCTTTCCTCGTTCCCCATTTCTTGTCCCCTTTCATAGAGAGGAGTTCCCCTTTCCTCGTTCCCCATTTCTTGTCCCCTTTCATAGAGAGGAGTTCCCCTTTCCTCGTTCCCCATTTTCGTCCCCTTTCATAGAGAGGACTCCCACTTTCTTCGTTCTCCTTTCCGCGTCCCCTTTCTTAGAGAGGAGTCACCCTTTCCTCGTTCCCCAACCCTCGTCCCCTTTCATCTAGAGGACTCCTCTTTCCTTCTCCCTTTCATAGAAAAGAGTCCCCTTTCGCTGTTCCCCTTTCCTTGTTCTTCTCACCTCGTCCCCTTTCATAGAGAGCAGTACCCTTTCCTCGTTTCCTTTATCTCTAAAGCTGTTTTTCAACGGCATACAAGTGGTACCGACTGAACTCTTAGTGACCAGAATTTGTCTACATTACAATTTGAAGACATCAAATACTTCAAGATATAATATGATCATACTGATTTCTTATTATATTTTATTTATGTTTTTTTTATCGATTTATTCTTCAGGAGAAAACATTAAATCGTTTCTATTTATCAGCCATGTTTGTCTTGCGACGGCAAGTGAAAGAATTCTCTTGAAAAGAGAAAGAAAAAATTAATAATTCATCATTTCAATCGAACATAAAAGATTTTTTTTTTTTAGTTTTCCCATTTATCCTGCCAATCACAAAATAGCACCTTCATTAAATCTTGTTTAATCGAAGTAATTACACAAAACTTTAGTTCGACCACGGGAAAAGAAATACAGTTAGTAACACCAAAATCAGACCAGTGTATGACAGTGGTAAGTAATATTTATATAGTAAGTCAAACTCACACCTGACCTCAAGTGGAACTCATACGAACAACTGCGAAGGATGCAAGTAAAATTGTCGGCTCTCTGTACCGCTCAAGTACTTGACTCATGCTATTTTTTACAAATCGAATATTGTCGTCATATTTGGGTGGGAGCTGCCCAGACATAACTCTCCAGCCTTGATAGAGTTCAAAAGCGTCTTCAGGTCCTTGTGGGTGACGACCTATTCTCCAACCTCCAGCCTCTCTCCCACGGGCGGAATGTGGTAAGCCTCTTGCTACTCTATTGCTACTTCCATGGAAACTGTTCGGTCGAACTACATTCTCCGGTCTTGCCAGTCCTAATCTTCACACAAGGACCCGCCATGCCATTTACGTAACAAACCACCCATATTCCCTCCGTATTCCATAGGTGAGAAATAAATTCCACTCTAACAGCTCCTTCCCGTGAATCACTGCTCCGTGAATCCGACTCCCAAGGGGATGTCTCCCCAATCCCTACAATCTTAACCTGTTCAAGGCTACGGTTAACCGGTATCTGTACAACTTGTTAGACATTTTGACGGTCGTCTTCGAGTATAGAATCCAGAGGTTAGCAGTGAATATTTCGGAGACAGTAGGAAAGCGTAGTTCAGGTTAGCAGTGGATATCGCAGCAAAGTAGCAGAGCGTAGTACTTCCTTCTGTCATCTTCGCCTGACAAGCTGGCTCTGGTCATTCCGGTAGGATAAACAAAAATGGCCGCCTTTATAAACGACGGATACAATGTTCTGCGGCTTCTGATTGGTTAACCTTCTATTGGTAGACTATAAAGGGAGTTAAGTCATTTTGACTAACTCACTAGTTACATACCACATACACAAAAAACTGTAACACAACTTACCTCTTAATGTAATCCTCTATCTCGAGTGGCTCCCAGGCCTTGTAAAGGGTGAACCTTACTGTAAAAAAAAGTCATATTTATGCAGGACATTGCTACTGTAGAGGATACACGCGTAGAATAGCAAATTTATTTTATTCGCTTGAGCTAGCTCGGACATTAATGAGTCTATAACGCCAACCATCACAGTCCTGCATCATGGACAATAGATCATTAGGGTTGTATTCTGCGTCATTACTTGGTGATCAATGTGAGTGGTTGCCGGGTGACGAACCCGTCTTGTGCCATAGCTAGGTGTCAAGAGCAGTAGATCACTCACATGTTGTTGTTTTGCCTGTGATCAGTGTCATACAAAACGTATTTTGCTTTCATGCAATATAGTAGAAGTAGAAGTTATAGAGTTGTGATTTAGTTAGATGTTGTCTACAAGACATGTTAAGTATAGTGTGTTTCATGAAGACGGATCAAAGTCAGCAGTAAATAAATCAGTGTTATTAGTGAAAATTTATGAGGAAGCTGTCATAGATAGATATAAAGGTAGATAGATACGCACAGACTCAGATAGATAGATAACGAACAGACTGAGATAGACACATACATATACATATTAGGAAGCTGTCACAGATAGATACAACAATAGATAGATATGAACAGACTGAGATAGATAGATAGATAGATAGATAGATAGATAGATGACGAACAGACTCAGATAGATAGATATGATGAGCTTGTCATATACATAGATAGATATATACGAACAGAGCCATACAGACAGATAACGAACAGACTGAGATAGATAGATAGATAGATAGATAGATAGATAGATAGATAGATAGATAGATAGATAGATACGAACAGACTCAGATAGATAGATAGATAGATAGATAGATAGATAGATAGATAGATAGATAGATACGAACAGGCAGATAGATAGATAGATAGATAGATAGATAGATAGATAGATAGATACGAACAGGCAGATAGATAGATAGATAGATAGATAGATAGATAGATAGATAGATAGATATGAACAAACTGAGACAGATATGAACAAAGTAAGCTACATAGATATATATGATCTGTCATAGATAAAGGGTGTTTCATTAAGATGGATCAAAGTCAGCAGTAAATAAATCAGTGTTATTGGTGAAAATTAATTTATTTCTCTATTGGATCATGTTATTTAAGTCATGGCAGTTATGTGTGAAAAATAATATTGTCCAAATGTCCGCCCCAATTTTTGATAACATCTCTGCATAGTTGCCCCTTGATCTCACCAATATGCCTTATTATCTCATCCTTCAGCTGTTGAATTGTTGTTGGCTTGTTGGCATAGACCTTACTTTCAAGATGTCCCCAAAGGAAGAAATCTAAAGGCGTCAAGTCGCACGATCGGGGTGGCCAATTGACTGTTTTGAGAGATGATGCGACCTGGGACCTTCTCATTCAAATTCTGTTTGAACGTCCATTTTCGTAATAGGCTTCGATAACTTTGACACGTTGTTTGATTGTTAATCTTTCCATGGTTGAAATTGCCAAAGACTTAAGTTATTAAATCTGAAAGAAAAAGAAAAACATCATTAGACGCTTATTCTGAATTCACATTTAGAATTGGTCCCAGTTATTGGAACACCCTTTATATCTCTCAGCATCCGAGTGTAGGTTCTATCAAGCTTAGACTCGAAGGTTTTAATTACTGTCCCAAGCAGTGACACCATGCATTAATACTGCCTCTATAGTGGCGCGAAAGAAGCTCCGTTTGAGGTTGTCTACTAGTTCACATTTCTAAATTAAATCCATTTTATTCAAAGTGGCACAGGCTTTAGCTATGCGAATTTTCACATCCTTTTCAGTAGAATTTATTTCGCTTCCAAGGTATGTAAAAGATTCGACAGATTTTATTGATTCACCAGAGACAGTTTGTATTGAGCCTTGCTAATTGAAGCTTTTTATTCAAACGGTTCACACTCCTCCCCGTTTTTTTTTTTGTTTTTTTTTTTATCAGGAGTAGAAGTTCATCCCTTGTCTCAGGTTTAGGATTGAGTTTCTGGTCCCTTCTAAAGTCTACTTCTGCTCTATACTTCTAATGTCTCAGCCTGAATACTGAAATTTTATTCGCTAATTAAACTTTGACCTCTTCAAGTCTAGAATTAACTGTCTAACTTTCCTGTTATTTTGCTCATTCTTACGCTAATACGTGGCCGAGTGGTTAGAACATTCGCATTCTGACATTTAGACCCGGGTTCGAATCTCACAAAGGTCGATTTGTCAGGAAAGAAACTTCTAGGTGTTATCGGACTGGATTGAGGTCAATTCCAGCGTGAGGCACCTTTGGATAGTGCCTGAAAAAGATACTACAAGTTGATCCAAGCCTTGTGAGTGAAATTGGGTAGACGGAACCCATGTGGGGCCGTCAATAGCTGTGCTAGCACGAAGTCACAAGTCATCGTGACCGAGGGTTTGAGTGTGCTGGCCTTGTTCAGATTGTTGATCACACTAGATAACACGCTCTTTCCTAGAAACTATAAATAAGGTCTGCTCAGCAAAGTTGCAGTATAAACCACAGGTGGGCTGTGTTGGTGTTGAATAAACACAAATGCGTCCGAGCAAGCGTCTGCAATAGGGATTGGCTAGCCACCTTAGTAGACGGGTATCCTTGAATATGAGTGGCCAACTATACATACATACACTAATACAAATACACACAGTAACCCTCTACATTGAGTGGCTCTTTGGCCTTTTAGTTGGTGAACATTAGTGAAAAGAAATAGACGGCTAGAGCAATGCATTAAAGCTGTGAACAAGGCTAGCGATTCACTGGACTGTGTATTCAAATGTTAAAACAGAAAGATAATTAAAAACTTATACTGAATTCGGTGAATACGTAAGATACAGAGTTTGACTGGCAACAAAAATGTAAGAATTGCAGTTCGAAAATCTTGTTGACGCTGTACGTAGCTGGGATATACTCTTTGCAATACGTTGCCGACTTATTTAATGCTAAGGAAGACCTCTGTAAAAGGATAGCCGCCACGACCGTCCCGGGCGTAAGAGTGAAAGACTAATGATCGCCTTGGGTATGACGATAAACTACCCCCGGCAGCAAGGCCTCTGATCGGGAGGTTTGGGGGAGCGTGGAACCACCTCCTAATGGCTGTTGTTCCCCGGTTCACCCTGACTCAGGGTGGTAGCAACTGTTGGGGTCCCAGCTATGGGCAAATAGTTAACAATATGAAAGTATAAAAATAGATTTTTATAGTAAAAATATCAGCAATATAAAGGGTGTTCCAATAACTTGAATCGATTTTAAATGTGAATTAAATTTATGAATCTAATGATTTTTGTTCAGATTTGGCAGACATTTGGGGGATATTATTTTTCACACATAATTGCCACGACGTAAATAACATGATCCAATAGAAAAATAAATAAATTTTCAATAACACTGATTTATTTACTTTGATCCGTCTCAATGAAACACCCTTATATATAATACGTCTTAATGAAACAACCTATATTTTTGCAAAAAAATATTCCCAGCTATACATTTGACTCTAGACAAAAATCCTCTTTACAAAAATACGCTAATGAAACCTGATCTACAAACTAATTTCTTACAAAGAATACATATTGTATTCATACGAAACTATCCTATAAATCTTCTCGGTATTAAATAACGCATTGAGGTTGATATGCCGTAAAATAAAATAGACCAAACCAAACCAAGACTAATAATAGACTGTTAATGTTGTCCTTTCTTCGTGATCGATTTTATCATTGCTTCTTATCGACTGGGTCATCGAGGAGTAGCAAACAGGTGAGGACAATCCAAAGACTGCATAAGAACAGCGTAATGGCCGACAAGTAGCAATAGCCAACGATGCCGATGCTGATAAACCCGATTTCAACATTGCTATGCATGATTCATGATAAACATGAAGCAATCTCGTATCTGCTGGTTTTCTTTTTAGGGTCAGTCACGAATAATATTTGCGTAAGTATCGGAATTTTAAGTCGGGAATCACAGTATCTCTGCGTTCATCCGAGATTCATAAGGCTGGAATCAAAGTGTAGTAGCTGTTTTTCCAACTTCAGCCGTGTTTCTGTCTTTGGACAGACCCCGAAAAAAAAGCTTCAAGGAACGCGCAAAACCCCGGGATTCCAATCCAGCGGGTTAAAGCGGAGACTGTTTTTTTTTGTTTTTTTTTTGTCCTTGATTCATATGTACCCGTCTGGGCACCCCACATTAAAATAACCTCGTGTCACAACCCTCCATCATCGTTGTTGTGTGGTAAATATCGGTTCTGTTTTTTACCTCACTTTTTATCTTCGAACAATTCACGGAAAAGCATTATGGGATGTCTAATCCTGGGGATCCCAATTCGGCTTTAGCACCTCCCTCATTGTACCAATGTTAATGGGAGGGAATTGAACACTCCAGCCTAACAGTAGTTGCTGGACAATTTTTATCCATGGTCCGCGTATGGGAATCCCACATTTAAAGCGAGCTTGTGTCAAATCACACGACTGTGATAGGCAGTAGGAGCATAGCGTAAAAATCCCTTCTTGGAGAGATTTCTAACGCAAGATTTATCATCTCTCAGACGCGTCACTGTCTTTGGGCAGAATGCGCTCAGAGGCTTCTCTGTCAAAAGACAGAGGGGCAACTGAGAAAATAATACTCAGAAGTACCCAGCCCTGGGGGGAACAGCTGCCAGAGGCCGCACCCTCCCATTGCACCAGTGGCAGGGATCGGTGCTCGCACCGAGGCCAGCGCAACAGACGGTTGCGGAGGCTGAGGGCAATTTTTGACCTTTGACCGGGCGTACGCGCTCGGGTCCCCACCTAAAAAAGATCTTGTGTCACATCTCGTCCAAGTGGAGGGGGAAAGGAGTTAATACTGTGATAGGCAGTGGGAGGATTAAAAAAAAAACAGATCAGAATGTAGTATCTGTTTCTCACCTCTTTATCGTGTTTCTGTCTTCGGACAGTTCAAGGAAAATAGATAAGTCTGATCCCGAGTATACCTGTGACAGCAACTGATCCTGGCCATGCCTGTATGGGTTGACATATTCTGGTGTCAGCGTGACAGTGGTCGCAGACACCAGATAAGTTTTGTTCTTGGCCCTTATCCACCTGTATAGTCAATCCATATTATAAACGACGCTGTGTCAAATCCCGTCAATATGGACAGGCTAATAAATAGTGGGTAATATTACCCTTCTCTCTGCCATGATTCTGCCTTCCGACAGTTGATGAGTCTATAATTAGAATGCATGGTCCCAGGGTATCCAGACCTGCGACAGCACCTCCCTCATTTTACTAAAAATTTAATTGATGGATATCAACGTTTGCGCAACTGCCCGGCAGGAGGCCGGGCAATCGCTGAATGCCGAACAATGCGGTTCTACAGAAGGATGCTGAGAATTTCATGGACGATTAAACAACGAGGAAGTCTTAAGGGAAATGGTAACGAAAAAGAATAAGAAAAAGTCAGCTGAAATTTCTTTAACGCATAACGAAGAAGGAGGGCTTTGAAAAGTTAACGCTCACAGAACGTATCGAGGGCACCTACCTGACGAGCGTGTGTGAATGAATAGTAGAACGGAGAGCGGGGTGTTTGGAAAACGGAGAAACGCTGTTAAGGGCCACGGGAGATAGGAAGTTGTGGAGAAATATGATCGCCTACGTCCTAAAGGGACACAACACATAGAAGAAGTCTATAAGTAATTTATGGGTACATCACGACCATGAGTCAGAACCGTGGGAAAGTGGAGGGGGGGGGTAAATAGCTCACACGCAGACTGGTCTTCAAGCCGGAACAAGAGTAAAGTTTCCGTTCTCCTCTGTTTCAGCCTGTTCTGCCACTACACGTTTACGTAATTAGAGGAGAGGCCCGAGGAATCTAATCTCCCACGTTTCACTAAAGTCGCAGAGATGGAGCATTCTGGAGTCAGCGATGACAGTGGTCGAAGTCATCTAATAGGCCGATATTATAGATGAAACTGTCATGAGGTCGACCTTTGACGCGGTCATGGCTGTAGCAAATGAAAATTCCTTTAATATCGATGTGAAAATATTTCTTTTAGAACAGATTCAATGTCTGGTGAATGATTTATAGGTACAACTTATTTGCGGTCATACTGATCGGAAAAAAGAGTTGTTACTTGTTTCAGTAAAATAAGTATGCCTAGCATTTAGTCTTAATAATCAATAGTTAAAATGCGTATTATACGAGAATACGTGATTGGCCATTGGTTTCAACTCTTTGTTGCACATTAATTAGCAAAACCAATACATATCAATTATTTTCGGTCATACTGGAGGCAAACATTATCGGAAAAAGAGTTAATATTTTTCTGTTTAAAACTCATCCCTACCTTTTCAGCTCAATAATCAGGTGACAAAATGCGTATTATACGCAAATACATATTTGGCCATATAAGTTACTTTCTCTCATACTTGCAGCACACATGTTCGGAAAAAGAATTCATATTTTTCTGTATAATACGCATCGCTGACTGTTAAACTTGGTAATCAGGTGGTAATCATCGCTGACTGTTAAACTTAATAATCAGGTGGTAAACTGCGTATTATTCGCGAATACGTTATTGTCCATTGGTTTCAACTCTTTGTTGCAGATTAGTTAGCTAAGACTATAGATATAAATTATTTTCGGTCATATTGGCAACGAACATGATCGGAAAAAAGTCTTTATGTTTTTCTGTATAATACGCATCCCTAACATTTAACCTTAATAATCATGTGGTAGAATGCGTATTATACGCGAATACGTGTTTGGCCAGTGATTTAAACACTTTGTTGCACATTAGTGAGCACGGCCAATAAATATATATTATTTTTGGACATTTTAAGCTTAATAATCAGGTGCGTATTATACGGGAATTCATGTTTGGCCAGTCATTTAAACTCTTTGTTGCACATTAATTAACTAGGCCAATAGACATAAGTTATTTTCGATCATACTTAGAGTACACATGATTTGAAAAAGAATTAATATTTTTTCTGTTTAATACGCGTCCCTAACATTTAAGCCTAACGATCTGGAGGTAAAATGCGTATTATACACTAATATGTGCTTGGCCAGTGATTTAATCTCTTTGTGGCACATTAGTTATCAAGGCTAATAGATATAAATTATTTTCGGTCATACTGGCAACACATAATCGAAAAAAAGCAAATATTTTAAAGCTTAATAATTAAATGCGTATTAAATGCGAATACTTCTTTTATCTCTGATTTCAAATCTTTGTTGGACATTAGTTATCAAAGCCCATAAATATTAGTTATTTTTGGTCATATTGGCAACACACATAATCGGAAAAAGAGCTAATATCTTTCTGCATAATACGCATCCATCACTTTTATGCTTAATAATCAACAGGTAAAATGCGTATTATACGCGAATACGTCTTTGGCAAGTGATTCAATTACTGTTGGGCATTAGTTTGAGCAAATTACTTTTGGTCATACAGGCAACACATACGATATGTATCAAAAAAAATTTCATCTTAATATTCTGGATGGGAAATGCGTATTATACATCATTAATGATATCAAATAACTGGAGAAAAAAATGATAAACAGAGGCTAACCAGACAAGTCGATAGATATATATAGATGTTCGAGAAACAAATTGAGTAAAAACTATTTCAAGTGAGAAAAATCACCCAAACTGGCTTCTCGGAGATTTTCGCTTGAAAAGACGCCATTTCTACAAGAATGATTGCTGCCGGCCATTACTATTGTGTTTATACTTCAGAGGCTGCCTTATACTGTCCGGTTTAACCGATTTTTTTCTGCCATTACCTACATAAGTAGTGTAGATATCGGAGAATGGTTAGCAAACTAGTCATTTCTTCGTTGTCGACCACTTGCATGGAATATTGCTGTCATATATGGTCTGGTTCGCCCGCTGTAGTTTCGAGTTCCTCGACAAAATCCAGAGACAGATATGCTATGTGACAGGTTCTGATCTGGCATCTCGTCTACAGTCGCTTTCTCACAGATGTTCCGTGGCTTCATTCTGTCTCTTCTCTAAGTATTTTCACGGCAACTGTTGCGACAAGCTGCTTTCTCTGGTTCCCAGAAGTTGGCATCTCAGTCCCACCCTTTCACTATCTAAACAGTTAAATGTAACTGTCTCTTCTACTCAAACAGCTTCTTCTCTCGCACTTTCTGTCTGTGGAATCCTCTTCCTCTTACTTGCGTCCCTGATAGCTATAATCTTCAAATATTCAAGTGTAATGTCAATCGACATTTTCTGATACCTTAATTTTGTTCCTCCCATACTTCTCTTTATCGTTTCCCCAAACATGCCTCTTTACTCTTGTTCTCTACCCTCTGTAACCCCTTGCGCGCTAGTGGCACTCCCGCCTAGCATGGGGTGAAATGCTTAAAATAAAGTATTCCCATGCAAGCAACGGGACCTACTGGTCAAAATATCGGCTTATAAGACAATGCGTATAGAGAATATATGTGTGTGTGTGTGTATATATATGTGTGTGTATATGTGTGTGTGTATGTGTGTGTGTGTATATGTGTGTGTGTGTGTACAGCGTACGATTGGTAAGATGTCGGCATCTTATATTTTTTATTTCGTGTATGCACGTTGTTTTTTGCCGACTACACAGTCTAGTAGGGTTAGTTGGACGCCATCTATAAGAAAAAGAGCACTGTGACGCAATTCACTCCACCAAAAATACACAAACATATTTACACATATATGATATATGAGATAACGGCATATATTTTTATATATCAAGAACAGTATTAGGAAAATTGTATGATAAAGTGGAAAAAGTTTACGTGTGACGCGTTTCGTCCTTCAGGACTTCATCAGACTAAATTTGCTATTTTGGTAGGACCTCACATGCGCACGAACGAGGATGCTGGGATTTTTACAATTCTTTTTATCTATCTAACCGAATTCATTTACAGTCTTTTTCTTTCCATCACTTTGTTAATAGATATCCCACGTTGTTGATAATAGAAGATTTGCCAGGAATGATTAAATTTACTCAAATTTACTGTGGATGACCTTGAGATCAAGGTACTCTCTAGATATTTACGTCGTAGTGAATAATTTTTCTCCTTTGACCAGAGTAGTCAGTCTCCTTATAGTGGGCAACCAATACAGTGACGTTTCTCCTATGTATTTCTTGTAACAATTATTACAGGCAATGGTGTAAACTCCCCCTTCAGGTTTTAGCTTATTGTTTTATTTAGTATTGTCTAAGTCTTTTCTTGTTTTGGATGTAGTAGTAACAAATTTTATGTTGAGTTTAGATAGATTCTTTTCACTTGTAGGTGTGATAGAGTCAATTGGTAGGATAGTATTTATGTTCTTTTTATTCAATGAGTTTTTCAGGAGGGACCATTTTTTGTTTTGGAATATTTTATGGGCCTTTTGTTTCGCACTGAATATAATATTATTAGGGTACTGAAAAAGTTTGAAAGTGTTTGCAATTTATTTCCCCTCTTCGTGTAAATAATGCGGGCTGCATATTCTGAGTGCTCTTAAGTATAATCCGATGATTATGCCGGATTTTATCTTGCTGTTATGACGAGAACAGAAATTTATTAGGTCGTTTTGCTGGTTGATTTCCGTATTAGTTGATCTCATAGCTCAGGTAAATCAGTACCATAAGGATATATAAGTAGATCATCATCAATATAACGGAAGTATGTTGATTGTTTGGGTAAAATATTTTGGAACGGACCGGATTCAAGAAATTCTAAGAAAATACATGCTATGACTCTACTGAGAGGCGATCCCATTGCTAATCCAAATTTTTGTTTGTAACAGTCATTATTAAATGTGAAGTAGCATTCATTGGTAATGAAACGGCAGATTTTTATTCTTTTAGCTGTTGGTAGAGAGAGCTTTATCTTTGACTGTGTTAGCTTTTTTTAAGCTTTTTTCAACTGGGATCTTTAAGTTTAGAGGGATTTTATATCTAGGCTGGCCATGCGTTTGTCGATCATGTTTATTTCCCTTAGTTTTTTCAACTAAGCTGCCTGAGTTCTTTATATGAGATACACTGATTGTTCCAAGGAGAGGGGTAAGAATTTTTGTTATGGCTTTCGCCAGTTTATTGGGGGTGGGGTAGGCTGTCTAATTCTGAAATAATGGTGGGCATTGCGGTACCAGTTTTGTGGGGTTTAGGCAGACCATAAAGTTTACGTGTTCTAGGGTGATATTCTATGAGTTTATATCAAGATATGTTTTCATTTTTAATTAGCTTCCTGATTTCCTTGTTAAAATTTTGTGTTTTGGTAGTTATTTTTTGTTCGTTTATTTGTTCGTTTATGTCAGTATCGTTGAGTAGGGAGTTAATTTTTTCTGTGTATGTATTTTTGTTCATAATCCCAATCGCTCCTCCCTTGTGAGAGAGAGAGAGAGGGGGGAGGGAGTGGTGTGGATTTCCTTAATTCTTGCTAGTTTCTTTAAAGCATTTAGTTGTCTCAGTGGTAATGTATTTTCGTTGTTGGTTTCTATAGTAGCAGTGATTATGCCTTGATTGAAACCTTTGGTGAATTCGGAATCGTTTTGTTTATGTTTTTTTACTACAGTGTCTATTATGTCTCTTTTATGGATTCCGGTGGCGAATCGTTCTGATGGCTTCTCGTTCTGTATTGAAAAGCTTTATATCCGATAAATTTTCTATTAGATTAGGCTTTTCCAACATATTTCCATTGCTGTTGCTGAATAGGTTGAGTTTTCGTTTCAGTTTGTTGTTTTGATTGCCACTCATTTGTTTGATCATTTGGTGTGGCTGAGCCATTTCCGGTTTTGTTACAACGTACATTTTGTGTATTTGCTGTCCAGCAGTTCTGGCTTTTTTAGTGGTTAGTTCTTCGGCAGATACTTTTTCGGAAATCGCATACGTAGGTTGTAAAACATTCGGATAGATATATAAAAATATCTTTTAATCCACAGAACACCTCGTTCGTGCGCATGTGCAGCCGTACCAACGTACGTAACAAATTTAGTCCGATGAAATCCTGAAACTTTTTTCAATTTGTCGTACAATTTTCCCAATATATATATATATATATATATATGTATACACACTCAAATATATGTACATATATCCATAGATACACACTCACATATATGTGTATATACAACTCCCAATATATCTACTATATATATATATATATATATATATATATATATATATATATATATATATATCTTAGTTGTAATTTATACAAACGTAATATAATTTCATCCTATGTATATACACACACGCATATGACATATAGAAAATCTATATTTCATCGTAACAATATATTATTGAATAATTATAGAAGTTACAACAAATAACAACAACATTGAAGCAAGAAAAGAAAAATGTAACAGTCGAAGTAATATGAACTGTCCATTAGACGATTAATGTTTGGCTAATATTTTTACAAAGCGAACATACAGTCTGATAAAAAACAGGAGTCAGATCTTTTGAACAGGAGTAGAGGTTTATCCCTCATTTCCTGCTTAGGATTGAATTTCCGGTTCATTCTAAAAAGTCTTCTCATTCTCTTTCACTCCCAGTAGCCCCTTGCGTCTTAGTGGCATTTATCGCCTTATTTGGGGTAAATTGAAAAAATAATATTGGTTCAACTGAAAGAGATTGGAAGCAAAGACTTTACAATCAAAAACTAAGTTGAAGTAACGATAAATACAAAAGTGATAGGGCTCACTCTAAATACACTGGCAATTAAAAGACACGTGGCACAGTGGATAAATGCTCTGGTAACCCAGTGACTTGACCCCAAAAGTTGTAAGTTCAATACCAGGCCACATCAGATGTGAAAAAAATAACTTGGTGCGTTAAGTTAAAGTGAAATATCTGAAACTGAAATGTCTGGAAGAGTCATGGTACGTGATGGACGAGTTAAAGGGTTTGAAATTTCAATCATTTAAAGAAGGCCGGAGCGTACAGCGATCGAAACGCCGTGAATATGACAACAAAGAGGAGGGCAATAATCCAAACAATGTGAATACTGTAAACAAAGTAAAAGATGGTGGAACCGTACCAGACATTACGTGGGAAATAATGGTAAGAGCTAAATCAACGGTAAAATATGTAACCTTTGCCTTTTAGAAAATTGACCCTTCTATAAAACAAAAGAAATGGATTAATGGTCACATGCAGACCTAAAAATAAATACCGTATATACTCGTGTAATGCGCGATCTCGTGTATCGTGCGACCCCCAAATTTTCATTTATAAAAAATGATTTTATCATGTGTTTCGTGCATCATGCGAGTTCCTTTCTTGAGAGACTAAATTACATTAGATTAACCTCTTTTCCTCTATCTCTTTATCTCGTCTTCTAGTTAAATAGTAAAGGAGAAAGATAAAAGTACCGTTAGTAACGCTATACTCGTTGTGTAAACGCGTACAGCCATAAACAACCGAACGAGAATCAGCTAAACATCTTATAAACGTAAACAATGGAAAAGATGCATATTCGCCATGTTTGTATTTTATAATATGATACTAATATGTGAATATTACATGCATTATTATTTAATACAGTTAAGGAAGGAAAAAAAATCAGTTTTATCGAAATCATGTTTAGTTTAAATACAGCTGTACTTTTTGGCTGCAGTAAATGGATTCATAGTTTGGTCAACGGCGTAGCCAGGGCCAGCAAATAGAAATATACATCCATACTTTGAAAAAAATAATACATACATATAGTCAAAATTACATATTATAAGCTAAATA